GTGGGGGGGACCATGGACTTGGAATCCCAAAAGGGGGGGGGGGGGGGGGTACTCATAGTCGTGCATGCCGTAGTCGTTAGACCATTGACCTCGCATCCCTACAAAGCCGGGACGGAGCACGCCGGGTTCTCACCGGACCAGGCTCTCACGTCACCAAGCGCGAAGCGCCGTGAGGTATTCGGCGAGTGGCATGAAGGGTGACCTGCATCCTGCTAAGGGTGTTCGGCATCTTGTGCTTACTTCCTTGCGTACGGATGACAGCTACGTATGACTTAATTTATTTTCTGGTGCCTTCACTTCCAGAGACAGTTGTAAGCACTGTGTAACTGCCTCGAGGATGCTTGACCATTTTAAGACAACATGGTGCGATCATCCCCTCTGCGCGGAGTGAGGTTTCTCCACCCCGCACAACAGGATCTACTCGACCACCATTATGGTTACCGCCAAAAAAAAAAAACGAGGTAAAAAAAAAAAACCGGTAACCTGGTTGCCGAGTTCACGAAGTGAATTGGCTTGTTTTACAACGTCGTTGCCAAGCGACGAAAACCCAATCCCGATGGCAAAACACCGGGGGGGGGAAGGGGGGGGGGTTACTCTCTATAGTCGTGCGTGCCGTAGTCGCAAGGGTTTGAGGGGGACGTACTCTTATGGTTTGCATATCTTAGCGGATAGACCGTTGACGGAGCGTCCTCTCGAGAGGACGGAGCATTGTTCCCCACACACACCGATGGCCAATCATTCCTTCCTACTTTGCCAAAGGTGGCTAAAAAAATGTTTTCCCTAGGCCACCTATCCCATCTATATCAAGAGACAAAACGTTTGTGAATGCTGTGTCTGCCGTCAACAACGCGTCCTGGACACTTTGTTTTCTTAACTTCAATTGGTTGAAGGGCTGGGCTGAGAACGGAACAATGGGGTAACAATCTACACCTGTCATTGTGAAACATGCTGCGGTGAGGGTGCCCACGTTTTTGCCGAATCTGTGTATGCCGATAATCTGCTTTCGATCGCCCACGGCAACATTCACGGGGGGGGTTCAAGCACTGCGCAGTGTGATTACACAGTTGCTGTGCAAACCTCTTGATGCAAACGGCTTCACGTATCGATGACGACGACCTTTCAGCAACTTCTACTTACCAACGGTTGAAACCGGTTGGAATCGTCTTGGGACTCAAAAAGCCGTTTCCGCAGCGCTCGTTCTCCAATTTCAACCTCGTATACTGCGCAAACTTGCGACCTTCTTTCTCTCGTCTCGGCCCTAAATACACTGTTCCGCCAGGAAAAACGCGGCGCAATTAGACACGAAACCTACCGGCAGAAGGTTGAACTTGTTGAGGAAGATCCGGCGCATGTAGAGCGGGACCAGGCCGCATTGGCAAGGCCACCTGCAGGCATCGTCGGCCCGATGGCACCATGACCGGAAACAGCAGGGGCAAGGAAAGACACGGCGGGTATGAATGCAACGACAACGAGCACCGATTAATATTGGGTCTGGCAACACAGGGGGGGGGGTCGTGGTACGGTCGTGGTACTGCTTTTGTACGTGAATAATTGCTACATGAGAAACCAAATATTGATATTATAGGAAGGACACCACGCCATTATACAAGGGAAACCCGGGGCGTGGCGGTGATGATGATGATGACGCATTCGCCCACTACTGCGGGGGGGGGTGGAAGCTTCGTTTTTTATTCCTCTGTATTTCATCAGGTTGTAGTAGATCAAGGAGTCCGGGATGTTGTTGTTGTTGTTGTTGTTGTTGTCTTCACAATAAAAACCGTTCCGATCTCTCTTCCCATGCACCTTCATCCGTCCGTACTGATCTAACACTTGATCGGTCGATTCCCGTGGTCACAAGCTGACTTAACCTAAGCAAGGTACACTCAAAAACAAAATGGACCCGAAGGGTCCGCAAGCCAGTTGACATCAACGACAGATAATCTGGAGCCCTCCGCTCCCCTCTACACGCTTGTTGTTGTTGTTGTTGTCTTCACATTAAAAACCGTTCCGATCTCTCTCTACCCAGTACGTTCATGTGTCCGTACTGATCCAACACTTGACGCGGTCGATTCCCGTGGTCACAGGCTCACTTACCCTAAAAAGGTTCGCTCAAACAAACTGGCCCCGAGGGATCCGCAAGTCAATAGAAATCAACAGATATTCTGGAGTCCTCCGCTTCCTCTGCGCGCTATGCGAGGCAACAACTGAGACTAGGAGTCAGCATCACGGGCCAGAGAGAAAGAGGTACACCCCCTTGGTTCAATCTTGGTGCTTCACACGCAAGCAGAGACAAGGCCATCTGACACAGAAAAAGAGAGAAAATAGAGCGACAAAGAGAAAAAATAAAAGGAAACAGGAAGAAAAGAGAAAATAAAACGAAAAATAAAACGAAAAGGAAAAAGAGCGAGGACAAACAGAGACCAGGCCGGAACACGCTATTTATTTACCTCTGCGTGGAAGAGATGGCTCATATTCGTTGGTTATTGAGAAAAAAAAAAAACATGTCGAGCAACGTCTACCCTTACTTACCTATTTATCTACAACAGTGATTCCACCGGCTTGACGAACAGCAGTAGCTCTGCTGCCTGCAGGTACTGTAGCTCGTGGGTGCACAGATAGATTGAGTCAGCAGCTGTCGACAATTTTTTCGTGCTGCGGTGGTCCGTTTGTGTGCACCAGCTATTTGTGTTGACTATAACTCCAAGTAAAAGTGACTGCTGTGTGCATTGCGAATCGCGCCGCCATGTTGACGCTACACCCAACATGCGCATTCATTACTCGCTAAAAATTAGCCCGCTAGCCAACCGCGCAGCGAAGGCAAGAAGGCGCGCGGGGGGGGGGGGGGGGGGGGGGGGGGGAAAAAGGAAAAATTTGGGGGGCTAAAAAATTGGGGGCCCCCCCAAACAGGGGTTTTTTTTGGGTTTTTTTTTTTTGGGCCCAAAATTTCCCCCCCCTTAAAAAACCCCCCGGGGCGGGATTTTTTTTTAAAAAATTTTTATGGGGGGGGGGGGGGCCCCCTTTTTTTCCCCCCCGGGGAAAAAAAAATTTCCAAAAAAAACGGGGGGGTTTTTTAGC